AAAGAAAGAAAGAAAGAAAAGAAAAGAAAAGAAAAGAAAAGAAAAGAAAAGAAAAGAAAAGAAAAGAAAAGAAAAGAAAAGAAAAGAAAAGAAAGAGAGGGAGAGAGAGCACACGAGCACAACCATAATGGCAAAGCAGTGAGACACCAGAAGAAATCAAAGGTGCCCCTGGCAGAGGCAGTGTCTGTCATCCTTGTATCCCTGGACCCAACTCAGAGCACTTGAGTCCCCTGAGCCTGGTGAACCCTTTCTTGTCCAAAGCGTGAGGTCACAGTTACCCCAGGAAGGCTGCAGCCATGTGCCCTCTCACCAGCTGTGCCCTGGGACCTCTCGACCTGGAGATCTTTTTCTGCAACCTGGAGAACAGCTCAGGCCCCAGCCTGTCTTTGTCTCCCTCCACCTGGTCTCCCTCCACAATAGTCAACAGAATGATGTCCTTCACGAGAACAGCAGTGTTTACCTTGAAGTCTGCTCCAAGCCACATGGCTATACTGCTTTCTGCAGGGTTGGGTACAACAGGCCAACACAGGCGAGCCAGCTTGCTACTAAGACATAAAAATGCAAGACAGGAGGTGATTGTGGGAAGTGTTTTACTTGTGCTGCACTGCTGAACCAAAGCAGCGCCGTCTGTTGGAGGAAATCACTTGGATCCTATGAAACAAGGGCAAGCTCCCAGCCTCCAGAGAGACCCAGGGACACGAAGTCATTTAGGCAGAAGCTGCAAGTTATCTAGGGATGTGACAGGAGCGAGCCCTCTCCGCGCAAAGCCGTCCCTACCTTCTTCTTCCTCCCACCCTGCGTCTCCACATCCGGTCCTGATGCTGGACACGATGCTCTCACTGACAGTCATCACAGGACTACAGCTTGGAGGCCTAGTCTGCGGAGCTGCGCCACAGGCCTCACGCTCCACCCAAACCTCGGTTCCCAGGCTGCAGCACCAGCACTTCAGACAGCGTTACAGAAACGCAAGTTTTTAGGCTTTACCCCAGCACACTGCTCCAGAAACCCGCATGCCGGGGCCTGATTCTGCTGCATCCTCAAGACTGAGACTGATTATTTAAGTGCGTAATGTACAGAAATGCATGCTGATGGGGCTGGGATGATCTAAGCGTCTAAGCGCCTGCCAGGCAAGCACAGGACCCAAATTCGATCCCTGGTTCTGCATAGCATGCCAGCCCTGGAGCCCTGGGCACACTGTGCTGGCCCCAAAATTGGGTGTGGTGGTGCATATCTGTAATCCCAGTGCTGGGGAGGTTGAGACAGGAGGATCACTACTAGTGTGAACTGTGCAGCTAGACCCTGTATCAAATAAATAAACTAAAAACAAACAAAGATAAAAGCAATGCATGCTGGTGACTTGGGGACAATCTATAGTTGCTCAGGGAGGTTGACGTTAGCTTGAAAATAACTGCGTGCAGCTGCCTACAGAGCAGGCCCACACTGTCTAGTGTGGGGAGACAGCTCCGCCAGGGAAGGGCCACTGGGGCAGTGGCAGGCTTGTTGTTAGGGGCAACAGAAGACGCTAGAGACCAGCTTGCTTCCCCAGCTGGCCAGGGCAGGCAGGACAAAGGCCCCTCCAGGCGGCCCCCCAACACTGCACCACAAGCAAGGAGCAGCTCATGGTTTCACACAACTGCCACTCTCATTCCAGGGGTTCCCAGCTCCCTGTGCGGCCTCTAGCCGCTGTCAGGGTCCCTTGGGGTCTACAGTGGAAAACAGGGCCTCCCCCCAGTTCTAGCCTCAGATGGCAAGTGGGACAAACAGCGTCACAGCAGCTCATGCTGCCTGCCCGCAGAAAGCAGCCAGCTGCACGGGGCGAAAGGCCTCTTGCTGGTCTGAATTCTGACGAACCACAGAACGTGTCCTTTATTTTTCAAAATGTTACTGGCACACTTTTGATATACATCACGGTCATATTCATCATAGGGAATTTGCACCTGTACATAACAGATCTTGACCCTTCTTTTCCCACTATCTTTCCCTCCACCCTTCTTCCCCCTTCTTGTTTGCAAAAGCTGTTTCCTTTGTTTCCATTTTGTCCTTCTATTCCGTCTTTGCTTTTCTCTTTCTCCTCTGCCCTCCCTTGTTCCTCTCCCCACTTGAACAACTATTTCCCGCTTCCCGGTGTCCATCATACATGCATCTCTCTTTTTGTTGAATGTGTGGAATTTTAATTACAACGCTTTGTGGAGAGGCTCTTCTTGGGGTGTAGCTATTTGGAGTTACATATCTCATACTAGAATGCTGAGCTCTTTTCTATATTGGGAAAGTTTTCTTCTATGATTTCAGTGATTTTTTTTTTTTTTTTTTACATTTTGAGGCATCTTCTAATTTTTTTCTTATTTTTTTAATTGATTTTTTTGAAAGTCATCTAGCTGATGTGGGACCCTGCGTGGTATCTTGTCATATTTAGGGTATAATTGAGTTCAGGATTTACTACATCTACATTGTCTTCAGCTGTTGATAGCCTGTCCCAGTAGTGGTTGAGTCTGCAAGCCATGCTTTCTAAAGAATTTTTCGTATCTTGTACTACTTAGCGATTTCTTTTCATAATTTATAAGTCTTTATCAAAGTCATGTTGTCTTAACTCAGTTTCTTCTTTTAGCTCTTTCAAAATTTGTGAGTTTAAAGAAAAATATGATTGTTTTAGTATGTATTACTTATGAGCATAATTATTGGATTTCTAATTCAAGTTACTTGTTTGTATTTTCATCCTCCTTTTCTGTTGGGTGTTGAACTATGTGGTCTGATTTTTATAAGTGGAGATAATGAAGTAAGCTTTCTTTGTAATTTGTTAATGTTTTAATTACCGTTTTAGGTGTTTTATTATTAAAATACTTTTCCATACTTGGATAAAATCAACTTAGTCATGATATTTTATTTTTTGAATTGAGATTGGCTTGCTAATGTTTTGAAATTTTGTATCTAATTAGTAACAGGTTTATAATTTTCTTTTGTTCTTATCCAAGTTATATTAGTCTTGCAGAATGAGTTGGTGAATAGTTTTGTTTCCTAGATTTGTATGACATGGAATAATTTGTTCTTTGAGAGTGCTAGAACGTGCATGTAAAACAGTCTCTAGACCTGGTACAGATACTTCTATTCTGACCCAATTTCTGTAGAACAATTTTTCAAAAAATGTCTTCGGAAATAATTATGGTGTTTTCATTTTTCTGAGAAGTTTTTTCACTTTGTTCAGAGTTTTAATCTCAGTAGCATAAAGTTGTCCAGAGAAATTCTTTAGTCATTTTAATTTTCTCTTATGAAGATTTTAAAAGTTCTTAGTTCTACTTCTTTACGCCCTATCTGTCCATTCTTCCCCCTGCCCTCCTTTGTTCTAGTGATTTGTCACTTGGCAAATTTCATTGATTTTTTCTGAGAACCAGTTCTGGTTCTGCTGAGTCATTCTATTAAATGTTCTCTTCTTAGTTTATTATTTTCTGCTTATTTTCTCTTTTACTTCTGCGTGATTTATATTGTTCTTTTCTAATTACTGTTCTTGCTACTTAAGATGTCTTTTTAGCTGAGTTCTTTCTACTGCAAAAATTTAAGTACTGACAAGTAGCCTTCACCATATAATTTGGACATGTTATTTATTTTCTATTTATGTTGAGAGAGCAACATACTACTCTGTGTAGTTCCCTCTGGCTTTGAATTTACTGTATATCCTAAGCCGGCCTTCAACTCACCATGATCCTCCTGCCTCAACTTCCCAAATGCTGGGATAACAGACACGAGCCACCACACCTGGCTGGGGACTGGTAAACGTTGAGTGCTGTTGATTTCTATGAAATCCGAGTGCACCGGATTCTATGGATGATTGTACTCTGCTCTCCTTTGATCAATTTTTTGTCTTTATAGACCGTGCTTGTAAGAATACCCTTAGGTGTATTTGTATAAATTTGGGAGTGTATCCAGAGTGGAAGTTCATATTAATAAAAAAAAATATGCCTTTTAAGGTAGGATCAAGATTGACCCGATTTATAATCTACACTCTGTCATTTGTATTCATTTCACCTATATTCTTCACTGTTCTTAGTAATTAGCAAGCTTAAAAATGCTTTTAGTTAATCAAGTGGGAAAAATTACTATCTCCCTTTTTTGGTTTACAGTTCTTCAGATATGAGTGAGATTTAATCATTGTTTATTTTCCTTTTGGAAGCTACCTATTCATCTTCATGCCCCCCCTCCCTTTTAACTATGCTGTTTGACTTCTTTCTATATAAAATTCCTGCTTTGCTGTATGTGGAATGTTGAAAATGGTTAAAGTTTGTGTGCTACCTAGATACTTCTGACTTTCTTAAAAATGTTACTCATTTTAGAACTGGATGATGGGCCTGCTCAACCAGACCATTTCAGGAGAAGTCACTTTGCCTCTGGGAGGAGTTTGGGAAATAGAGGTACGTGCTTTAGTCTTTCCTTCATCTGAGCTGTCGAGTGAGGGAGTAGAGGCTTTTGGTCAGAGCTCTCTCCACTCCACTCCTCATCCCTCATAATGGGGATTGCGCCCAGGGCCCTCACACCGAGCTGCATCCCCAGCCCTTCTAAAGTCCATTCATTCATTGTGAGCCTGGAGAGTTAACCCAGGGCCTTTGTACTAAGCTACTTCTCCAGCCACTGTTTAGAAAAACTTTTTATGTGGAGAGAGGGTTTCATTAAGTCGCTAAGTTGCTCAGGTTAGGAGGCAGGGTGTCTTGCTAAGTAGCCTGGTTGGGCTCAAACTTACAGTCCTCTGCCACAGACTTCTAGAGTGGTGAGGTTAAGGTGAGTGTCTCTATGCTCAGCTTTAGGTCTTATAACTCAGTGTGCTAGGTTTTGTTGGGGTGATGAGTTCATCATTTTTACTTCTTTGGAATACTGTGACATGCTTAAGGCAGGCTGCTTGGACTAGACACAGATTGGTTGGACAGGTCCTTTACCTGCTTCTTAATTTATGATCATTGTTGTTGGGGTTTTTGTGTATGTGTGTGTACTCAAACTCAGAGCCTTGTGCTTTCCAGGGAGGTGCTGAGCCAGTGAGCTACCTCCCTGACCCTGATTTGTAACAGCTGAAATGGGAACATGTTTGTAAAAGTTTTAGAGATTAGGATGAGAAGGACCTCTTTTTGGATATTTATATTTCAAGGAAAGGCAGTGGGAAGCATTTCTTTCATTCACTGATACTAAGTTTGCAAGATTATTTTCACAGGCTTGGGTTTTTAAGTGTCACTTTTAAAACTACTAGGTGCTTCAGTCATAGCATCTGTTGGCACGTGATACTTGTACAGAACTCTCAGGTGTTGATAGTGCCACAGCAAAATACCTTCCTGCGATCCACTATTTGGACTTAATTAAAATGCTGACAATATTCTACATCATTTTATTATAGTGCAATAGCATTATTAGAACTTTAAATTCATTTAAACTCTATATGATGATTGCTTTTAGAGGATTTTGTTGCTAGGGCTACTTGGCAGTTTTAATATATGTTTTGTTTCTGTTTCTTTTTAATTTGGTAGTTTTAAATACATGTAACATCCTTAAGTTTAATTTTGTAAAACTTGATTGATATTTTTACTTACTTTTATCGTGATAGAAATGTTCCCCCCTCCTTAACCCGCTGCATCTCTAGGATTTGCTATTGGTTATTTCCTGACAGCCTTCCTTTCGGGAGTGAAATAGAATCGTAGTGTTGCTTCAATTTGCATTTCTCGGATGACCAGTGATGTTGTACATCTTTTCATATATTTGCTGTTTGTACACCTTCATCTGAGAAATGTGTGCTCACTTCAGATACCCATTTTTGGACTGAACGTTCAAATTTGGAGAGTATGATTTGGTTTTTTGGAGTTTTGTGTTTTGCTTTTTTAGTTCTTTATATATTCTAGATATTAGTTGCCTAAGGAATAGTTGGTTACAAAATTCTCATTTTGTAGGTTGACTCTTTACTCTGTTGGTAATTTCTTTTGCTGCATAAAAAGAAATTAATATGATTTGACAAGGTCACTCCTTTTTTTTTTTTTTTTTTTTGCCGAACCGCGGATCGAACTCATGCCCTCATACTTGCCAGGGAAGCGCTTATTCCACTGAGCCATCTCCCCGGCCCCCAAGAAATTAATATGAAATCCCATCTGTTGATTCTGTGTGATATTTCCACTGCAGTCATTGTTCATGAGGTTGTTGCTTATACCTATGTCTTCAGGAGTTTTACCTAGTCTATCTTCCAGCAGATTTACTGTTTCTGTTTTAATACTTATTTATTTACTTATCTATTTATACCAGGAATCAAACTCAGCACCTTGCACTTGCCAGACGACACTGTGCCACTGAGCTGTATCACCGGCCCAGTATCTAGATCTTTGATCCATTTCAACTTTAATTTAGGGCATGGTGAAAGATATGAGCCTAGGTTTAATCTTCAGTATGTGGAAAGCCAGTTTTCCCAGCACCATTTATTAAAAAGGCTTTCTTCCTGAGAAGGTGTTTATGCCCTTTATCAAAGGTATAATGCTGGGCCGGGGAAATGGCTCAGTAGAATGAGCGCTTCCCTGGCAAGCACAAGGGCCTGAGTTCAATCCCCACTTCCAGAAAAAAAAAAAAAAAGTATAATGCTGAATGCGTTTGGAGTAGTTTCTCAAACTTCTATTTTGTGCCAGTGATCCTTGGGTCTGTTTTTTGCCAGAACCATGTTGGGTTTTTTGTTTTATTACTTGCCTGCCTGTCTGTCTGTCCGTTTTTAAATCATAATTTCAAGTCAGGAATTGTGATGCCCCCTGCCTTATCTTTGGTGCCCAGAACTGCTTTAGCTATTTCAGCTCTGTTCTGGTTCCAAATGAATTATAGAAACATTTTCTCTAGCTCTGTGAGGTACGCAATTAGCATTTTGATCAAGTTGCATTATATCTGTATAACATTTTTGGAACTATGGTCATCCTCACTATATTGGTTCTGCCTACCCAAAAACAAAGAATGTATTTTCTGATATCCTATTTGAACTCCTTTTTCAGAGTACTATAGTATTCAACATAAAAGTCTTTTACTTTGTAAGACTGATTCCTAAGTATTTCATTTTTCTTTTTCTTGCCTTTTTTTTTTCTTGTGTATTTTAGGGAAGAGTCTACAAGGTGTTCAGGGTCTCGCTACTAGATCAGACTCATAATGATCTGCCTGTTTACAGCCTTCCAACAGCCGGGATTACAGGCGTGTGCCACCACACCCAGTCTCAATCCACATCTCAGCACACCACTGGGGTGGGGCTGGCGCAGCACAGGAATCAAACTCTGGTCTCCTAGCACTTGCCTAAGCAGCCACTTTAGTCCACTGAGCTATCTGGCTGGCCCTTCCGTAGGGTTTTTATCATATGAATGTTGGACTTCGTTAAATGCTTTTCTGCATCCATTGAAATGATCGTGTGATCCTTGTCTTAGTTTTGTTAATGTGCTATATTCCATTTAGTGCTTTGCATAAGGACATGGCCTCTAATAAGCTCAATAAATATGTACCAAATTGATAAAGGACTAGGAGCCTCTTCATGGTAGAATGCCCCCTTATGCTAAATGTCCATGATGCCCCCTGTCCCTCTCTGCCCATGATTTTTAAGTCATCTACTACTATTGACTATAAACTCACTTTTGTTTTTTGAAATTAGAGACCACTGCAAGGACGATGACCATAAGAAAGCCTCCTCCAGCCACACAAGTTATAGGGAGAATCTCGAAGAGACCTTTGGAGAAAAAGAGGAAAAAACCATCATCAGTTCAGTTCGCTTTCTTGGCAAAAAATCAAACATTAACCTGTTTTCTAGTGGCTTCAGCAACATTTTTTTAATGAGGTTTTCTTCTAAATTAAATTTAGTTTCTTTCAATTAAAATAAACTCTGGGGTTTGTGCCTTCCCATCTGGTTGTCTTCTTCTTGCCTAATAAAAAAGACATTTTATATTGATCAACATTGTGTCCTGCGGGGCTATTTTCTAGCTTTACACATTCAGTGAATACTTACTGAGCACTTACTAGTTGCCAAACACTATTCTTAATAATAAAATGAAGGGTCAGGGAGATGGCTCAGTAGAATAAGCGCTTCCTTGGCAAGCAAGTGCGCAAGGATCTGAGTTCAATCCCTGGTTCTGGGGGGAGAGGGGGAATAAGAAGAAGAAGAAAATGAAAGAAATATGGGGTCCTTATTCCAGGGAGCTTATGTTACGGTAGATTCAGACAATAAGCAAAATAAGATGATTCTGCATAAAGCAGAGCCATACAAAGGTTACCAGGGTAATGTGGTAAGGAGGCTTTAGATGGGCTTGCAAAGGAAGAAGGCCTTTCCTCGCTTAGGTGCTGCCCTGTGTTTTGGCTGCCCCTACCTTCGGAAAATATGATGTCTGACTGGACTAAGGTAAGAGCCAAGAAGAGCTACGCAGCACTTGAGGGAAATACTCACTTATCGACAGTGTCTTGAAGTTTATCCTAGGCCCACTGGTCCCCCCAGCTCTGGTGCTAGCCATGACCCAAACGGTGTAAGGGGTCTTTCGCATCAGAGACCCCAGGTCATAATGGAGGGTGCTAGAGTTGACTGTCTCGGCTAAAAGAAAAATACAGAAGTCAAACACCACACCCACACCAGACTGAAGACTGATAGGAAAGCACCGAAGTCTATACTTTGAATTGGCCTCCTCTTTCTTCAATCCATGACCTGTTTACAACTATCCCATCGAGAAGAATCAAAGAGCTATTGATAGAGGTAAAACTATAAAAACTCTTAGACGTCAACATGAGGTAAAATCTTCATGACCATAAATTTGGTACCAAAGCATAAGCAACTAAAGAAAATACAGGCAAGCTGAGCTTCACTAGAATTAAAGGCTTTTGTCTATCAGCATACAGTATCAAGAAAGTAGAGATCAATCACAAAATTTAAAAAAACTTGCAAATCATACATTTGATGAAAAATTTACATCCATCATATATAAAGAACTCATAATTCAATAACAGAAAAAGATAACACAATTTTAAAATGGGCAAAGAAGCTTAAAAGATATTCTTCCAAAGAAGATATGTGAATATCCAAAAATCATATGAACAGATGTTCAGCATTATTAGTGGTTAGGGAAGTGTAAGTCATGAGACACCACCTTGTGTCTACGGGATAACCCATTACAGCTTCTTTTCAGATAGAAATTAAGTGTTGGAAAAACCGCAAAGGGACACCTCTTACATTGAGCCGGGAATGGAAAATGGGGTGACCACCGTGGAAAACAGTTTGGTGGTTTCTCAATAAGTTCCAGTAAAATTACTAAATGATCCAGCATTTCCACTTCGAGGTACATTCCCCAAAGAACTGAAATCAGGGACCCAAGCAGACATTTACACCTCAGTGTTCATAGAAGCAATATCCACAGAGCCATAAGGTTGAAAAACAATCCAAAGGTTTGTCAAATGATGAATGAATGATATATAAAAAAATTTGATGGAATTAAAAGCCACTAAAAGGAATTAAGCACTCATTACAACAGAGATGAACTTCAAAAGTCCACATATCATAATTTTATTTACATATGTATGCTTATTTATCTATTTGTTTATTTTTCAATTCTAGGAAATGCACCCAGGACCTCAGAACAGTCCCACTCTACCACTCAGCTATCCCCTGGCCTGGCTATATTACATAAAATATTCTGAGTGGGAAATCCATAGGGACACAAAGCAGTTTGGTGGCTATAAGGAGCTGTGGGAAGAGGAGCATGCACAGAAACTGACTAAAGGTTACAGAGCTTCTATTTAAGGTGGAAACAAAAATTCTAGGAAGTAGAAAAGGTTACACACCATTGTGAACATTCTTAATGCTGCTAAATTAGGCCTTTTCAAATCTTACAAACAGTAAATTTTATGTTGTACATATTTTGCTACAAGAAAGGCAAAACTTAGTCTGAACAGGAAACCAAGAATTGCTCAGAATTTAGGGTGAACTCCAAAAAAAAAGTATGTGCTGTCAATGAACAGTGGAGGTCATGCTAAAAAGCCAAGGACTGGGGAAATGGCTCAGGGGCATAAGTACCTGCCTGGCAAGCACAAGGTCCCAAGTTCTATCCCTGGTACTGCAAAAAAAGAAAAAAAAAAAAAAAACAGAAGCAGTGGTCCATGCCTGTAATTCCAGAACTTGGAAGGCTGAGGCAGGAGGATTTCTGTGAGCTTGAGGCCAGCCTGGGCTATGTCGTGAGTTCAAGGCCAACCTGAATTGCACAGACACACCCATCTCAAGAAAAGAGGGAGGAGGTGGAGAGGAAGTGGAAAACAGGAGGAGGAGGAAGAGGAAAAGAAGGAGGAGGAGGAGAAGAAGGAGGAGGAGGAGAAGAAGGAGGAGAAAAAAGTAGGAGGAGGAGAAGAAGGAGGAGGAGAAGGAGGAGGAGGAGAAGGAAAAGTAGGAGGAGAAGGAGGAGGAGAAGGAGGAGGAAGAGGAGCAGGAGGAGGAGAAGAAGGAGATGGAGGAGGAGGAAGAGGAGCAGGAGGAGGAGAAGAAGGAGATGGAGGAGGAGACAGAGGAGATGGAGGAGGAGCAGGAGCAGGAGGAGGAGGAGAAGGAGGAGGAAGAGAAGGAGAAGAAGGAGAAGGAGGAAGAGGAAGAGGAGGAGGAGAGGAAGGAGGAGGAGGAGGAGGAAGAAGAATAATAGTCATGGTAAAGAGCCCTGCACTAACGTAAATGTCATCAAAAAGGGTCTTCCCCCAATCAATCCAACCTCACTCTTTAAGCCAGGCATCCTTCTCTCTAGAATAATGGTCGATATTTCTTGGGGTTGGGTCAACTCTTCAGGTTTTGACCAGGACAAACTATCCTTATTGCTATAGGTTCTTAGTTTCTGTTTTTTCACTCTCACCTAACACCCTCAAGTCCAAGAGATGGTGCTCTTGACCCCGCATTCAAAGAGGCTCAAAGAAGTTAGTAATTTATCCAACTTCAGATATTTCACTTCCATGGGAATGACACCTATGACCAATCCATCTATATCATCTTTCTGGCAGATGGATTTCTTTTTCATCTTAGCTATAAGCACACTTACAGAATTCTTCTCCTCCTTCAGCTTGGTAGAATATGGTGTAGTTGCTGATGAAACCATTTCTCTTTTCCTTAGGAACCTCTTCCCATCTGATGGTGACTGTCTTCACACCAATGTTTTCTACCTTGGTTAGAGGACCTTTTGATGGGACTTGAGAAGACAAGGAGATAAAGGATTAACACTGAGTCACAGCCCAGCAGATTCTTCTTCCCACAAGCTCTGCTAGTTCCCAGACCAAAACTACAACCTGGAGGTGAGACGTAGGGTTGAATAGGAAGATTATGAGTAACTTGTTAGAAGAGATATTTCCTGCAGTCATGCATCTTAGGAAACAAGTGGCATCAAAGGCTAGAAAATATACTTTCTTCTACATCTCTCTCTCTAGCCTGGCACTCAGATCTTTCATACATAAATGTGAAATACAGCTATTGTCCAGTATTTGGAGGTTAAGCTTCCCTAGACAGCCTTTTCATAGTGAGAGATACTTTTCAATGTTAAATTTGGAGGGTGTTCACTTCTGAGTAGATCCAAACAAAATCTGGGCAATTCATCAGAAAAGCCCTTGCTTACTGTCACATAATTAAAAATAATTTTTAACATGTTCAATTTACTCCACAGCCTCCCTGCATTGGTCCTAATTAAATGCTATTTCAGGTTGCAACTCTATTTACACTAAGATTCTCTGGGGCTTTGGGCAAGTTATTTCATCTTGCTCAGCCTCAGCTTTTTATCTATAAAATGAGGACTGGACTGGTTATTAATGCCTGTCCTAGCTTTGAAATTCAGCAACCCCAACTTATGACCTGACCCCACTGTGTCAAGATGAAGGTGCAGAACAAATGGGGACTCTGACTGAGCCATCGTTCTCAGCTTTCTCTAAATACTGGACAAAGCCTGGTGTCCATATGGGCATACATACTGCCTTCTTTGGCATATGCCTGGATAGAATACGGCACTCCCACTCGGCCTTGTGACACTGGATACACAGAGATGTTGTAGCACAAGAGGGGTGTTAATTTATCTGGAAAAAAGAATAAAAAAAGAAGCATAAGTGCAGAGCACATCGGAATGGAAGAAACACTAGGCCCCTAACGATGAGTCTAAGACTCCCAGGAGATGTTGCATATTTCTAGTTTCCTCATCTGGAAAATAAGAGTGTTGGGTTGGGTGGTCTCAAATGTCTGTCCTTATTCTAAGATTTTTACAATTAATTCTTAGGAATAAATTCTGCGCCACTTCAATAAGATTACACGGCCATCCACGAAGAGGTCAGTAGGAAATTCAATCCTTCCTCCATCTCCGAATCCATCGTATGAATTCGGGACACTGCACGATAGATCCTAATGCTTCTAGCAATAGCAGATCACTCTGAAGGACTCAGATACCATGAAATATAGTTCTGCTCTCTGCCTTCATCCTTCAGAAGCATATTTCTTAATACGGATGCCTGTATCAGTCTCCTGGGAAAGGAGTTTGGCTAGTAAACAGGCAACCAGAATGAAGGGAATGCCCCTAGTGGGACTGATGGGATCTGTACTCTGGAATTGTGAATAGGATAATGCAGATATTTCAGAAGGGCTCTCTGATGGTGCGTGATAAGGAGGTGTTTTCTAGCTGGCCCAAGACCCACCGCTCTCTGTGCCAGCTTTTCCTGGGAGATTCCCAGAGGCATGACACCTAACTGAACTTTCACAGCCTTTTCAAGCGCTGTTAACCACATTTACACTTTGAAACCAAAGTCCAGGATTTTAAAAACCATTTAAAAGGGTGCATGCATATTCCATGCCAGCTACCTCGCTGGATTGTCCAGTGCCTGGCCTGAGACACAGATTCCCAAGACAAGGCAGAGAACTCCGAGTCTACATCTGGGACCCATTCGACGATCCATGTGTCCACCTCCGGACAGGAATACGGCCACTTCACCTCCAGCTGGTCCTGAACAAGGCAGGCCTCCACAGCCTGAATACACAGGAACGCTGGAAGGAGAGAACGGCACTGCTTCGCAGCTAGCCAGCGCTCCACAGCTGGCCTGCCACGCCGGCACCCACCCAGTGTCTGAGCTGTGAAAGGAAGTCAGAGCCCAGCGTGCCCCATGACAGCGTTGTTTCCATTCCTCTTACTGTGTCCCCTTTTTCTCACTCATCCTTGCTCAACAGTTTCGATAATTAAGTGCTGTTTAAATTTTCTTCTTCTTTTTTCACTGCTAGGGGTTAACCGAAGGCTTTGCACATGCTAAAACCAGAGTTTCACCCCCAGTCCTAGGTACTTCTGCCTCCCTAAACTTGACCTGCTTCTAGAAACTCATTTCACTCAAGAGCTTAAAAAGATATACCTTCCCCAACCATAGATGTTTCTGCAGGTCAAAAGCAACATAAGCCTGAGGAACAATGGATTGTATATGCACAGTATATGGGAGTCGAGTCCTTGTCAGGCAGTTTATGGGTCTGTTTCCCAAACTGATCCTGCAGGAGACCCTCCTGCTGCTAGTCCTAGAAGCAAGACCAGCTGGCTTGTCAACCTGAGGAGGTGGCTCTAAGACAGGGCAACTGAGGCACAAAGAATACAGGAAGCTGCGTTGGGCAGCACAAGGATCGCAGAGCCTGGCTATCACCACACTTCATCCCCAGAACTTCTGCTTTCTACTTGCTGCCTTCCCAGACCTGCGGCCTGAAACATCCCCAGTTAGCCCAGGCCAGAGGTCTTCACTGGAACACTGGCAACCTTCCTTGACTTTTAGACCCTCAAATGCTCCTTACTTCATTTGGTTGGGATAACTCTAGAATGTAACTTATACTCCATAATCTGCCTATGGGATCCAACAAGATTTTTACCCCAGACTATATTTGTTGTAGGATGACTTGTAAGCCCCTCTCCCCAAAATGTCTTACTTTTACAGAATGTGGCCTCCTTTGGAAATAGGGCCATTCCAGACAAAAATTAAATTTGGGGGCCTTAAGTCACTATGATCTGTCTCATAAGAAAAAAGGAATTTAGACACAGAAACAGAGACACAGGTATCTGGCAACATGAAGACCGAGACAGACATTGGAGTTACTGGAGCTACCAAAGGCCAGGGAATCCCTGCAGACTCCAAAGCAGAAAGGAAAGGAAGACACTAGATGCTTCAGAGGGAGTACAGCCCAACGGACAACTTGAACTTAGTCCCGTAATCACCACAACCATGAGTCAGTGCATTTCTGTTACTTCACACCACTGGTTTGCTAGTCTGTTACAGCAATCCCAGGACAAGGAATCCCTCTGCTGGACACCCCTCCCTCGCCTGGCCACTTCCTGTTTCTGCTCTCCCCGGAGGCACTTTCCTAGTGACTGCCAGCAAATCCTGGCCTGAAGTGAGCCCAGCTGCCTCGCTCCTTCTCCTCACCCATCTAGGAGCTCTGCAGAGCAGGAGCTGGATCTGCACTGCCACACATGCTGCAGACTAAGGGGACTGCGAGGGGCGTGGAATGGGTTCCCCAGAGCCATGAGTCAGCCATGAAAGAGGAAGGGGTCAGTTTCACCAAGAATGCTCAAAGAGAAGGTTCCAAGTCATCATCCCACTGAGTATAAACTGATTGCCACCTCCTTCCATTGCTAACAAGAAATTTTTGAGTAATTATTCCAGTTATACCACATTCTCAGGAAATACCTCCTTCCTGGGAAAGGGAAGTGTCTTGACTGCTAATTCCTCATGACTTGCATGAAGAGTCAATCTGGTTCTATTAAATAACGGCTCCTAGGGACTGCTTTGCTGTGACCAGCTGTCCTGATTCAACTGAACCGGCCCTGACAGAGCCCACTGACCACACAAGTAGCTATGATTCTTCACACCCTGCCTCTGACCATTTGGAAGCTGTCTGCTGGCTAAGATCTCACAAAATTCAGGATATGCAGGGAGAACGAACTTGAAGATTCATCTATGCCATCCCTTATTCTGAAGTTGAGAATATAGAGGCCCACAGAGGTAAGTAACAAGCTCGGCATCACATAGCAGGTGACTAGAATTCTAAATCCACTCGTAACCAAAGTCCAAAATAATATATTAATTTGTACCAATAGGTTCATGTACACCAGGGCTAGAATCCCACCTCAAGAGCTAGACAAATTACTGAACCCTCCTGGATCTCTTTGTTGTTTAAAAAAACAAAAAAGGGGGGCCGGGGAGATGGCTCAGTAGAATAAGTGCTTGCTTAGCAAGTACAAGGGCCTAAGTTTAATCCCTGGTTCTGCAAAAAAAAAAAAAAAAAAAAAAAAAAAAAAAAACAGAAAAGGATCTAACATCTACATTATGAGTCATTTCAAGGCTAAAACAGAATAACCTATGTTATCTTTGCACAATGTATGAAATATACTGATGAGTATTATATAGTGATCAGACTTAATGATAGCCATTTACTTTGATTACTCTCTAGCTGCCTCTACTTTATTAAACAAAATTCAGAAAATGTGACCTTCTTATTGGTTAGAATTGCTGTCTGTAAACTTCCTCTGTAATGAGGGAGGTAAGTTAGAGTGATGAGCTTTAGGGTAAATATTTTAGACCTTACCGGCTGGATGATCTCTACCACAGCTGCTCAACTCTGCCATCCTTGCACAAAGGAAGGCAGAGATAATATGCAAACAAATAGCTGTGATTTTTGTAACAATAAAACTTCACAGTTGTCAGGCCAATTAAAATCATGCTAAGAGGGCCGGCCAGATAGCTCAGCAAACCAAAGCGCCTGCTTAAGCAGAGCGCAGCACCCAGCTTCAGTCCTCGGTAAGCATGTCAGCCCCACTCCAGGGGTGCCATTGAGGCTGGGCGTGGTGGCGCACACCCATAATCCCAACCCTTGGGAGGCTGAAAACAGGAGAATCACTATGAGTCCAATCTCTGTAGTGAGATCCTGTACACCCTGTGGACCCTGTACCAAACACATAAAAAAAAAAAAACAAGCTAAATTCAACTTTTTATTGTTTCTTTGTGTCCAAGGCAGCAACAAGACCAGATGTTGGCCAACTATAGCTTCTTGGCAATGTGCTGACGGTCAGTGATACCTTGTAAAACAGCAATAGTGTGAAAGCAGGTTATGGATTAATACTTCCACCATTCCCTCCTCTGTGCGCTTTGCTTTGCTTTGCTTTGCTTTGTTGTGTGGTGGTGGTAGTGCCCTGTTCTAAGGATTGAATCCAGACCCTTCACATTGAGCTACAACCCTGGTCTTTTCTTTTTT